TTAGTATCGCACGCACTCGCACATGCCAACTTGAGTTATTCTGAACTTTTCTTCGTTATTCACAAATCACCATGGCTCAAAGGCACTAACAAAACAATGTTATGTTCTAACAAGGATGCGTCCAACAAAAGACAAAGGGCGCGGCGGCGACTCCCGCGGCAGGCGACGGGCGGCGGCTCCAGCTCTCCCGCGGCGCGCGACGGACGGCGGCTCCGGCTCTCCTGTGGCAAAGGGCCGTGACCTGCGGCGGCTCCGGCTCTTCCATGGCGAAGGGCAGCGGCTCCAGCGGCTAACGGCTGCAGGAGGAGGAGGGGGCGAGACTGCGAGAGGTCATGCGGGCGGGGCGATAGATCATGCGAACAATTTTTTTTAACGGCGGGGCGGGACGGGGGTGGGTTAGGGATCGATTAGTAGGTTATATGGGTTAGGGATCGATTAGTAGGTTATAGTAAGTGTGCACGTGCAACGCACGTCTATTATCACCAGATGCATAGAAAAATAGCCTAATGTCCCTTCATCATTCATTTTGCAAAGTGTGTTAAAGATACTTCAAAAGTAAAATGTCCTTTAGTTGACCAAATTACTCCATATCACATATTTCCTCAGCTGCAACGCCAATCCTACTGAATAAAACAATGCTAAGCAATTATACTAACTTCAACTACCAACTTCTCATATCCTCATTTTTTATTACCTACAGCTCCTATCCTATTCTTTTACTGGGAACCCGTTGTCGATCATTCTACAAGATGACAAAACTTTAGGAAAAAATTACTACAAGCACATTTTAATTTTCTTGAGAAACTATACTTCACAAAACATTTTCTTCGAAAAGTGTGGAGAACTTCTAGGAAATTGCAGGCAAATGCACAGTGCATAATTATTAGCTTGCACATAAAAATGATACAGAGTTAACAAATAACTTTCCTATCCAAATATCATGCCAGTCATATCAAACAAAAGTTGAATGGATCAACTAATGAAAAGATAATGTTACATTGTTATTCACCTTTGCTAGTGTTATTATGTCAACCAAATATAGTTTTCCACCTGTTGACGTTATCCTCAGCTTTCTATTACACGGCTGATAGCCCTTCAATCATTTGCTCCTCCCCTGTTGCTCTAATATTAAAGCTCCTATACTCGCTTCTCATATGCTTTCTTCAAGTCATTACGAACCTGCATGAGTTGTCATATACTCTCCATAGTCAATTTGAACATCCTAATCAAATGAGACATGGTCAATTTGCATTTCAGATTTGTAGTAATTAGCGTAATAGTACAGACTATTCAACGGAGTTAATTGAAACCAATTAATTAATTTAAGATGGTGTACTCCCAGCTTGTGTACGAACCGGTCAGCTTGTGTTGTACTCCCAGCGCACCTCTTCCAGCGGTCAACGGTGATGTACCCGCTGTCATCCTCGTCAAAGTAGGCGAAGGCAGACAGCAGGCAATGCTTGTTAATGTGCACTGTTGACCCGATGAACTCATCGTAAGCAATGCTTCTGCTACTCCATCTTTCCTTGCCCTCTGATAATCAGCCATGCTTGACGTGAAAATGCAAGTTGGCCCTATAGAACATAAAACAAGTTTCATGTAGGATTGTTGTACATTCCATGTTTTTTTTCTCCATGTACTGGCCAAAAGGGAACTTATGGACACTACGCACATCCTGATGGAGCTTGCATTGGTCAATAGATGCTACATTTGAACATCCAAAATAAACAGAGTAAGCATTAGTATCAGGGATTGTGCTTGTCATATATTTAAAATCCGAAAATATCATCAAAGTATATAACATACTCCATGTATAATCAAACTGAGTTTGGCAACGTAGGAGTGGATTAACACCACAGAATCAGATATGACCAAAAAAGCTAGCAGTTAGCAGGACTACAGTTCATACTATGCGTGTATATGAAAGTCGGGATAAGGAACACGTTTAAGTAGACATAAGTAGTCCTAACTGAATGTAGAAGTTTCTGTGATGGGGTACTGTTAATCCCGTCATGAATTACAACCATCCAAGCATATTGCTATGATAATAAGTAAATCAATTACGACACTCTAATGTAAGAAGATTGGTAACTCACATTGGGCTTGACCGACTCCTGCCGAAGCCGGCGCAATGCCTGCAGCTGGATGGCGTTGGCCACATGGAGAACGGCCGTCTCAAATGTCCCGAAGCTCCCGATGATCTTCTTGCTGGGCTCCAGGCTAAGGCACGCCTCCATGTTGATACTATCAGTGACCCGTTCTTGGTGGCGACCTCGTCACCAAAAAAAAAAATCAGTCAATAGAAGAATCAACCAAAAAATAAATAAATACCAAAATAAATAATCACAGTCAATAGAAGAATCAACCAAAAAATAATGAGCATTGAACAACCTTTCCCTAGTTATTTGGTAGTCGTTGTTGTTCAATCAGTAACTGAGGTGGAGCTGCAGAAAACAGTTGCCTGATCAGTTATACATCTTTTTTAGGTTACAAACATCAGATAATGAAATATCACAAAGCCAATAGTCCTTATCTAACTTACAGACACAATTATACATCTTCTTTAGGTTACAAACAGAAGAGACAAGTATTAGTACTGCTTAGTACCTCCGTTCCAAAATAGATTAATTCCTGGAAAGGTTGAGGTCGAACTTCTCTAACTTATTGGTGCTCTGTAAACCATCATATTAGGTTTTCAACTTTTTCAAAGAGACAGATCATGATAAAAAAATTGAAAGATGAATAATACCTGGATCGCCTCCTCAAAATCATGCCCCCACAAGTTTTCAGTTGAAAGTAAGAAAAACATGAATCACTTCAGTTGCGTTAATTACGCATATGAGAATGTCTAAACCCGAACACATCAGTATTCACACGTATGAAGAGAGGTGAAAGCGCGAAACAGGAATTAAACCTAAATCTTGGAATTTCTCTTAATGGCCTGCCTATTCCATACCTGACATCCAAAACCTACAGCAAAGCAATTCAACAAACATCACGATGTTGTATGCTCCATTATCAAGTTATATAGCTGCAGCAAGAGCATCTTAAAAAGGAAAATCATTCTACCATGGGTTATTCGATCTTCATAAGAAAAACGACCTTCATCCCAGGCTTCAACTCAAGCTATAGGGCCAGAAAGTGCTCGTACCGTTTGGTACTTCTGCTTCAAGGTTCACCATTCCACCTAAAATGCTAAGACACATGGGGAATCACAATTAGCAATGTTCTATGACATATTCTCATATATTTTTTTCTTTTGAAATATAACTTTCCTGAAGAATGAAAGACCAATTATTTGTTCTTTTGATAAGAGTCCTCACCTATGAGCAAAGTGGAAGGATTCAGTCCAGCCACACTCATAGAAGCTAGTAGCAAGATCATAGTATTTGTGAACCAGGTTTTGAAGAAACGATTTGGTCAACATATTTTAGAACTCTGCAAGCTCTAGCTGAAATCTGCACTACCATTATTAGTCTAGAAAATGCTAGTGGGCAAAGATAACAAGATAATTTCTGAATTCCATACTAATGCGGAGGGGACAACATCAAAAGATTCACTTATTTTTCTATCTTGCATACTCGTGCCAGCAAATTCATTCATGCAGTCCAATTCAAGCATTGCTGGGGAAGGGGAGGGGGGATCAATACCTGCAAAGCTCGACGCTGTTGCCGTCATCGCTTGATCTCCGCGCACCATCGCAGATCGAAATTTTCAGCCGTCGCACACACAGGGATGGGCGGGCGACGCCGTGGCCCGGTGAAGCGGCCGCGGGCGTCGGTGAAGCAGTCTGCGCGGATGGCGGCAGGCGGCCGCTAGGAGGCTATTGGGCGGGGCGGCGCCGCAACCCGGTGAAGCGACCGCTGGGTCTTGGCGGCCGGGGCAAAGGAGAGGGGCGGCGCGAGGAGGAGCTGAAGGAAGGTGCGCCCGCGTAGGGATGGAGGATGGGCGGGCGGCTGCTCACGATCGCGGCGGCCCCGGCTCTCCCGCGGCGACCTGCGGTGGCTCCTCCGGCGCGCGACGGGCGGTGGCTCCGGCTCTCCCGCGGCGAAGGGCGCGACAAGCGACAACCTGCGGCGGCTCCCGCAGTGCGCGACGGGCGGCGGCTCCGGCTGTCCCGCGGCGAAGGGCGCGATGGGCGGCAAACCGCGGGCGGCGAACGGCGCCGGAGAAGGCGGGGGCGAGAGGTCCTGCGGACGGGGGAGAGATCGTGCTCACGGTTTTCTTCTCTCTTTTTTTAACGGCGGGGCGGGTTAGCGATCGATTAGGGGCGGATTAGCGATGGGCGTGGTGGGTAGTGTTAAACATTAAAGACCATTAGATCTTGCTAATGAATGGGTGTGATTATTTGAATCTGCTTTTTTCTTTTTTTATAGAGGTAGTAGATGATTTTCGTT